AATAATATTAATTTTTATTAATTTTTTATTAATTTTTATTATTATTTTTATTTATTTAATTTAATTTTTAGAATACATTACCAACAATATAATGCACACTCTATACTTGGCAAGACTCTTTAATATCAATAATCACATTAAATGCATTCAGTTTTTGGCAAACAAAGTTGAAGTCATATATACAGATAATAGTCAAAGATGATTTTGCTACCAAAAGCTTGGATCTAAAGAAGACCTTGATTTCACAAGTGAATTATCTAGTAAGATAGATAATATACATGAAGTAAGCTTGGATCTCTGTGATAATAAAATGAGGTACAAAGTCAAATATGAAGAGCTCTATATATTTTCTATAAGTGAAGGTATTAAAATTTATAAATAAAAATGTTTAAACATATGTTTATAAATAAATTACTAATAAGATTTTTAATTATAAAATATAATAAAGAGAGTAGTGATACTCATAAAGAAGAGAATAGTGATAGTGATGAATCTAATAAGGGCAATATATATTATAAAAGTGATGGATATAATAAAGGCAATAGATATGATGAAAAAGGCAACAGATATGATGAAGGTAATGGATATAATAAAGGTAACAGATATAATGAAGACAATAGATATAAAGATAATCATAAACAAACCTCTATAATCAAAAAGCAATATATGTCTATTAGTAATTAATTAATTATTTGTTTGTTTTATTTTGCTAAATGCTTTTTTTATATTTTAAGTATAACAAAATCTATATCTAAAATAATTACAAATCAACATTCAAAATATCCCAAAGCCCAAGAAATTTATACCAATATCATAAGTAATTGTTTAATATTAAGTGCAATTGCTAATAATTCAAATATAGATAAAATAGAAATTTATTCAGAAAAACATAAAGCAGTACTTAAAAATAAAGAAGGAAGTACTACACTATAACTAATTAGTTATACTTACATTAAAGAATTAGCAAATAAAATCTAATAGCCCGATTTTGTACTTGTAAATCTAGAAGATATAATAGTTGGTCCAGTAAATCTGCTAGGCTTTTTAATAGAGTATGAAGTATTTGAAAATAAGGTTCTTAAAGAAAATAGGCTAAAAGTTGCAAAGCTATATCATAAGTTTCTACTATTAGAAGCAGACCTTCTAGTAGTTGCTTCTTTTTTTAATTCAAATTCATGTGTACCAAAATCTACTTACTATAAAGAAATTGCTGAGATTTTAGAAATTATAATAATACAAAATTCTAAACAGAATTTTGCTATTCATCAATTAAAGGTGCTCTTAATTTAAAATTATATTTAGA